AGCCAGGGGTATGGAGAATTCTCTATAAACCTGGAGCTTATTGAGATTTGTAATCTCACCCCTCTTTGGGGACACATTTTCAGGGGCCCAGATTTCCGGTGAGTCCTCACTAGGCAGGGACACGACACGTGGCTGAGGCAGTTGACAGACCGGATTTTGAGTGGCTGTAGGCTACTACCTTTTTTGGAGTGTTTGATGTATTTTAGTATTTTCGCATTTGATGGATCATGATATTGATCCTTTATTTTGTATATGGCCTGTATATGTTTGGTACATGTCTATCAGTTTGATGCATGTACATTTGAGTATTCAGGAACGTTATATGATGATGTAGTATTCAGATAGGTTTATGTTTTGATGGCATGCTGTTAGATTTAGTGGCACGGAGCCATGTTATGCATGCGCCCATGTATGGGTATTTGATTATATTTGGATATCTGGTATTTCTGAATTGATATGTTGTATAAACTGTTTATCAGGAAATGCTTCTGAGTGGGATTGGAAAATCCCCAGTTGTCCGAGTTATAGAGGAAACTCTGCCCGATTTTCGTTTACGCCGAGTAAGAATTAAGTTAGAAAAAGAAAAAGTTAGCTCATATTTTTGTAAGTTAAGTCTTCCGCTGTTTCTGTTTGTATCATATGTATGTTAATTGAACCGGCTCGAGACGGGGATGTTACACTTCTCCTAAGAATATTACCAGATTGTCCATATATCGACACATACTGGTACTTACAAAAGTTACAGCAAACCTAATCTGTACAGCAAACCATGTACCTTGGGGAAGCAGGTGCCCCGTACTGGCCTTTGTCCTTGGTATAATTTTGCTGAAATAAAAGCCATACCATTAAATTAATCTTAAAAAAATAATTAGGATACAAAGACGAGTCTGAATTATTCCGTATAATGTTTTGCAGTCAGCAAACTGCAATCCTTCCTTTTCTACTTTCATAGAAGTGTAATTCAACAAATAGATAAACTCTTTTGATAAATAATCCAAACAAGAGTTCTTTCTCTAATCATTGAGGAAACATACCAGTTCACTGATTCCTACCGGTGTCACTGGTAAAAGCTCTCCTTTAGGTGGTAAAATGCATCTACAAGTATTCATGTATAGCTTGTTGAAAAAAATATGTTATGTCTTATACCCCATGAACTACTAGAACCATTAACCATGTGGTCAGCATCTGAGATGACACACAAGGTTAGAAAAAATTTTAACATCCATTTACAAGTTGGTTTCGATGTTGTCTATAACCGTGACTTTTCCAAACAATGCAGCAACACAGAAGACAACAGGATCCTTGATCTCTTCCACTTTCTCCAAGCTATCTTGATCAACAATATGTAGGCAAAAAGAATCTAGTTAGCAATAAAATATATATCTTGTTATTCATAAGTCTTAAACCTTTAATTCTCTATTGTTTTTGCTTCATTTAAGGCCCTTTTAGGTACAAATATATTTCGGGAAGGCATACATCACCAACAAAATAAATTTGTCCATCTATGTGAATATGGAGCACACAGACAGAGAATAAATTATGGTGGCAATATAAATAAAATAAGGGCATTAGGATATTGTGCATGGACGGGATGTTGTTGCTAATTAAAGTTAGCTCACAAAAATAGGAAAAAACAGGCAGCGATAATTATCTCCTCATCCGAACTTTCTAATCATAAATTTTTTTTAATCTTTTAAATAATTTAAGTTTCGACCACTAGTTTGATAAGAATCACCCTACAAATCTTAGTTTAGCCACTACCAACCAAGAGCGGACCTAGAAATATATTTTAGTATATATATATAAAAAACTTTAACTTAATATAAAAAAAATAATCAAGAGTCAACTAAACTGTTACAATAGAACATTTTGGGTTCTCAACAAAAATTACGGGCCTCAATTTAATCTCTTAGGAAAAAAAAGTCTAATCTTGATTCCTCAGAATTCAATAATAGACTCAGATAATCAAAATCATAGTCCTCTGAAATTCAAAAAGATCCACATTAATCCCTCAAAAGGACTAACATGGGTCTATTTTGAATTTTAAAGGAATCACGAATCGATTTTTTTTAAGAGATTAAATTGGATCCTGTAATTTTTGTTCATGACCCAAAAAAAAAAAAAAAAAAAATATATATATATATATATATATATATATATATATAATTTTTTTCTTCAAAAAGTTTGTGTGTGCACTTGCACACACTAAAACATATATACGTCCGCCACTGGTACCAACTATGGAAAAATTACATCCTAAATATAATTTAACATTAAGCAATGATTAGATTTAAGCCCGCTTTTAATTACAGATTGTCGTGAAAATAAAAAGGGCAAACAAATGAAATCAACTCGAGAAATTATTAGACAGGAAAAAAAAACAATTACAAGATAGAGAGTAGGGGAGAAAATGTCAAAAATTGTATTATTTAGTGTGTAAAAAAAGATGAAGGAAGAATATAAACTCTTAGTTTTTCTAATTTTTCATATTATATTGTTATAATACACTTAGGGTGTGCATGACAACCTTCCTGGAATCAATTTTTTTTTAATTTATGTTCCCAGGAACAGAAATGGATAGAAAATTCGTTTGGTAAAACCGATTTATTTTTTTATTCCCGAGATGAACCAGTTTCATTTTTGTGCTAGGAAACAGATAAAAGAATCAGAAAATTTCTACTTTTTTGTTCCCAGGAACAAAACACTTATCTCTCTCAATCACTCTCTACCTCTACCATCATCACCACCACCATCATCAAACAAACACGACCACCGCCACCATCATTGTCGTCGCCATCATACCACTAGTGTCATCGTCACCACGCCCCACCACCACGATGTCACCGCCACCATCACTACCACCTCCACCCATCACTACCACCATGCCACCACAACTACCACCGTCACCACCGCTGCCACTATCATTGTCACCACTACCACCATCACCACTACCGCCATCAACCACCACTGCCATCATCGCCACCATCGTCATCACTATGCCACGGCCACCACTACCATCACCACGACGCCACTACTACCATGATCACCATCACTATCACTAACCACCATTACCATTGCTGCAGCCACTACTGTCGTTGCCGCCGCCGCCAACCACCACCACCATCGCCACCATTACACCACCCTGCGACTACCATCACCATGTCATCGACATCACTACCCCACCGCCACCATCACCACCACTACCACCACTGTCACCTACCACCACCGCCACCATCGCAGCCACTGCCACCACCATCATGATGCCATCACAACCACCACCACCACCATGCAACCGCTACCATTGTCGCCGCCACCAACCACCATCCCCACCACCATTGTTGCAACCATTGTCGTCACCTCCACTACCACCATCCCCACCATTACCGCCACCGCCACTATTACCACCGGCATCGCTACAGCCACTGTTGTCACAATCACCATCACTATCATCACCACATCACTGCCACCACCACTATCGTACTGTCGCCGCCGCTGCCACCACCACCACAACCACACCATATGGAAAAAAAAGTGATTATCTGGAAAAAAAAATTATATTTAATATGAATTATTTTTTATTATATTATTTGTTATGTTATCAAACACAATTCTCATTCTCGGAATAAAAATAGAACATGTTATCAAACACATTTTTTTTCTCAGAAACTGTTTCAAGGCACAGAAATAGAAAAGAATTGTTTCTTTTCAGAAACTGTGCTAGGGAATAGAATGGTTGTCATGCACACCCTTATGCTCCCGGGAACAGAAATGGATAGAAAACTCGTTTGGTAAAATCGGTTTGTTTTTTTTGTCCAGGGATGAACCGATTTAATTTTTGTGCTAGGAAACAGAAAAAGAATAAAAAAAATTCTATTTTTTTCCTTGATACAAAATGAGAAACACTTATCTCTCAATTACTATCCACCACTACCATATCATCACTACCACCACCATCCCAACACGACCACCGCTACCATCGTCGTACCACCACCACCACCTCCACGTCACCACCACTGTCATTACCACCACCACAACCACTACCATCACCGTCATCATCATTAACACTACCACCGTCACCAAGCACCACCACCACCATCATCGTAGCCACAACCATCACCACCACCTCCACGTCACCACCACCGGTATTACCACCACCACCACCACGCCACCACTGCTACAGCCATCGCCGCAGCCGCCATTACCATTACCGCCGCCGCCGCCACCATGTCATCTCTATCACCATCGTCGCAGACACTGCATGTCACCACCACCATCACTGCGGCAACTGCTGTCACCACCAACACCTCTACGTCACCGCCACCATCTTCATCATCACCACCACCACCACTACCATCACTATCACCGCCACCATCACCACCACCATCTCTACAACGATTATCGTCACCACCACCACCCCACTACCACCACCGTGCAACCATTACCGCCGCCGCTGCCGCTACCATGCCATCACCACTATTGCCACCGCCACCATCACCTCCACCACCACCATGATGCCACTATTATCGCCACCACGACCACAACGCCACTACTACTACCATCGCTGCCGCCGCCGACACCACCACCACACCATATGAAAAGGAAAGTGATCATCCAAAAAAATTTAAGCTTAATAAGAATGATTTTTTATTCTATTATTTGTTGTATTATCAAACGCAATTCTCATTCTCGGAATAAAAACAAAATAAGTTATGAAATACATTTTTTTTTCTCAAAAATTGTTTCAAGGCACAAAAATAGAAAAAAATTAATTCTATTCAGAAATAGTGCTAGGGAATAAAATGGTTGTCATACACACCTTTAACCTCCTGTAAAATATTACAACACAGATTAGATTATTTGCTTAAGATGATCATGAGTTGTGAATGTTGAGACATTGGCCATGCTAACGTTTACATTCTCCATTTACTTGAACAAATAGTAACCCTTTGAACGTGATCCAATTTATTTTTGTTATAAGCATTTCATTTTTGGTTCCAACCCTAACAAATATGTGGATTTTCGAATAACTTCTCACTAGATTTTACATTAACATTATTGCTTTCGTTTCATTATTAATATACATCGATATCTTCACCCCATTTTAGTCCCTACATTATGTCCTACCCATCTTCCAAATACAAAAAAGAAAAAACCTCCACTCCATGAAAGAAAGAGAAAGGGGGGGGGGGGGGGGGAGAGAGAGAGAGAGAGAGAGAGACAAAAGCTAGTTCCTCACGCATACCTTAAGATAAACCAATCCCAAGGGAACAGAAGAAAATACCAATGACTCAATTCAAGAAAGCTGTATATAGTATGAACCTAACATGCTATTTGATCTCTAAATGAAGAAATCTCCTCAAAAATTGGAAGTCTCTTTGATCTAACTGGTCCCCATTCATTCATCAATTGTTCCAGGCCTTTGATGAACTCATCATCTAGGCCCAAAAGATCTTGAAAATGTGGGGGAGGTAGTATAGATCTCAACTCTGTTAGAAAATCTTGCGCCCGTTTCTTTGACTTGCTATCATCAGAGCTTAGAAGTTTTCCTTTTACTACATCTTCTAGAATCAATTGTGCCTCTTCATATCGGGCTTGTCTTATGAGGCATAGGCCCAAGTTACAAGCCTTGTTACAATCTGGATCGATCATTTGGGCTTTCCGATACACCACTTCGGCCATCACGTAGTTCATCTTTTGCATGTAGGCCCAGCCCAGGTTTCCCTGTATAAATAATATTTAGATATACTGGTATAAAGTATAAGGGAAATAATTATCTCATGTTGCATGAGATAATTAAACAGAGACAAAATAGTAGGGTCCACTATTTTTTCTTATCCCAAAGTATAAATGTTATAACATTAAAGCACAACTAAGAGTAAAAAGAGAAAACATTTTCATGTTGTTAGAAACATCTTGTCTTATGTCGTAAAGATAAATATGTTGGATCCACCTTTTATAAAAGGAAAAAATATTTGTCATTTTAAATGACATAAAGTTATATCATTTTAGGAGAGAGATAGACACAAAATAAAATTTTTTATTTAAAATTTAAAATAAAAAAAAATTCAGCCACTTTCTCTCTCCCATGATTTTCATTTTTTGTGTCTATCTCTCTCCTAAAACGACATAACTTATGTCATTTAAAATGACAAACACCAAACCTTTTATAAAAACATAAAATAAAAATAAAACTAAAGAGATCCACATGTTTACTACTATAGAATGAGACAAAATATCTCCAATAATACGATATTAATAAGTCCAAAAGTAAAATCTTATAAAATGAAAAAAAAAAGCTAGAGTTGTAATCAGCATTACACATAATTGTAATTTGAATAATAATTAGTCCAACTTAAACTATTATACTCATAACAAAAATCATATCTGCAATTGTTCATAATCTTAACCCTGGGAGTAGTAATCTGATTTGATATGGACAATTCATAATAACTGATTTTTATTTTTTATTTTTTATTTTTTAGGATTGTAATGTTATTTACAATTTACTACAAGCTTTATGAATAGTAACCTAACTATGATCCTTAAAAATAATGCTTGTTCCACACCAATTTTATTTTACATTTACATCATGTTTTGAACAATCAATATGTAAGAATCAAAGTCAAGTAAAAATTATATCAAAAAATTGATATTAAATAAGTGAGGTCCAGACTCCAGTCAATATTAATGGAAAAAAAAGATGTATATAAATTTTAATAACTGGATTTGTGAGATTTTAATATGAGAGGATTTGTACCACTTTCTTGGAAGCGAAATACAGAAGTTATGGAACTGGTCATCCAAATTTAAAAAGGGAAGCTTTAGTTAAAGATCAAATACCAGTAATCTTGAAGTTTCTTGTTTAATAGAAACTTGAAACTTCTTGCCATGAGACCGTGCTGTCTTTGTGAGTTTCCCATTGAAGGCCTCGCCTTGGTATATCAATTTCAGCTTTCTCTTCAGCAATTCTATTTGCTCATCTATTTTACCACATTTCTGTCATTCAAGAAATTGAAATTAATGTTTAGTTAATTAAAAGACTCAATCAAGTACAATTACACTCATTCATCTTACCCAGTACCCACAAAAAAAGACACTCATTCAATGCTAACTAAGAGGATGCCTCAACAAATCAACCACAAGCTTTAAAATATTATAAGACAAGTCAATTGACCTCGAAATTATTGAAAATACCCTTCAATTATTTGGGTTTTATATCTACCAAAATATTAAGTATTTAGGTTTCGTAACGACCCGGTTTTCTTTTGACGAAGAAAAGCATAAAATAAAATTGAAAAAACAATACAACTGATTAACGTCTTCATTTTCCTGCTTTTGTATAATTTCAAGATTTCTTTCAATTAATAAAAAAGCCAGTTTATAATTAAAAGGAGAAGAAGAAGAAAAAAAAAATTAAAAAGTGAATAGACAATCATTTCAATCGATTCCAAAACATAACATAATTATAAAGTTAAAGCATTCTTAATTACTATGTAAAAATTGTGACTACAAAATGGGCATAAAATTATTAATTATTATTGATTTTAAAAAGAAGAGGTTAAGGAGATTTGCACCTTGTAAAGATCTATAAGTACATTATCAAGGGACTCTTGAGATTGTTTCGAGCAAAGGCCTCTAAACGAGGATATGGCTTCAATGGCTTCTTCAGATCTGTCTAATTGCTTCATCACCACAGCCATATCCTTTAAAGCACTATCCACTTTGTCCCCTGAATTTATTGCTTTCCAAAATAATACAATTGCACCTTCCGGGTCCTTCTCTACCAGCTGCGTAATCCACATTATGACTATTATTATTATTTATTATTATTATCATTACTACTATTATTAGATCTTTGGTCATGTAATAATTAACCACAGCAATAAAATCTGAACTTTTTAAATCTAAATTATAGTGAAACTTAATATTTCTTCCTCTTGAAAATTTTGAAAGGCACCACAATTGCAGCAAAAATCCAGTATGAAACATTGAATATAATTGAATCCGAACTTAGAAACAGAATTGGAGTATTTTAGTCAAGTAAATAATTAAGTACAGCACAAATATATATATATATATATATATATATATATATATATATAGGATATTGTGACACCCAAGTTATGTTACACCCAAGTGACACCCAGTCAATCTCACCGTTAGATCGCTTATGTTGATCCAACGGTTATATTTATTCCCATCTTTGTATGGTCATGATTTCCCAAATTTAATATTTTATATTTATTTCTACCTTTGTATGGTTATGATTTCCCATATTTAATGCTTTCACTTTAAATTTGGGAAATCATGACTATACAAAGATGGAAATAAATATAACCGTTGGATCAACATAAGCGATCTAACGGTGAGATTGACTGAGTGTCATATGGGTGTAACATAACTTGGGTGTCACAATATTCTATCCCATATATATATATGGGTTCGCTTTTTCTGCAGATAATGCAGATAAGGTATCTGCAGTAAGCCAATACGACGTCGTTTTGGGACGGAAATCATGGTGTTTTTGTAATTTTAATTTATTTTAGGGTTACAATAGTCTTTATATTCATAATTTTTTAAGATTTCAATACCAAAACGACGTCGTTTTAGGAAAAAATGCAGATAACTTCTCTGCATTAATTGCGAAAACATTTTTCATATATATATATATATGAGGAGGGATATTCTAACTACCAAAATTTTCTACTACTGATCACCATTATATTAACATTTTCTCTCTCTTCAGAATCTTTTTAGCATTCTCTTTATTTGATCAAATGGTAATGTGATGAGTAGTAAGTTAGTAGTGAGAGTTTTTTTTTTTGACATTACATGGAATCGAACCGCACCCCTAATACACCCTAAATACACCCAACACCACTAGGTTATCCCTAGTGGTGCAATAGTGAGAGTTTTTAGTATTTAGAATATTCTCACTATATATATATAGTTTAACATTTTTGATTTTTTGGTGGTAAAATATTTATTTGTTAGGCTCACATGAAAGTGAGTGGTCTTGTTAATTTTTTTTTCTCTCTTTTATTCACAGTCAACTCACTCACTTTTCTTTTCTTTTTTTAATATAAATGGATCCACATCCTTTTATCTTTTCTTTTTTTTGGTACAAAACCTTTATTTCTTCTATTTACGATGGAATCTTTCCACTTTTAAGTGAATATGGTAGAAAAATATTGGAAAAAATATTTTATAATAAAAGAAAAAAATATTTTTTAAATATATATTCCATATAATAATAATAACAATAATAATAATAAATTCTGAATGTACTCAAAAAGTATCAATATATGAAGGAATTCTAGGAACCATGAGCTGATTTTTTTTATTAAAAAAAAAATCAAAATTCGAAGAAAAGTCAACATTTAATTAAAAATTCCATTTCTGTGGCTTTATTTAAAAATAAAAAATAAAAGAGAGACAAAGAACTAATAGATTCAGTCTAATTAAGTATTCTAATCTAACCTAACAAGATTCAAGCATCATATTGAACCAAACAACCAAAGTGAAATCGTGAATTTCTCATCAGACAAAGAAAACGTGAGAGGGCATTTATATACATAAGCAGTGTAATTTAGAATTGAATTGATCCACCAAAAAATATAAAAATAAGTGAAAAAGAGGAGAATCCTAAAAAATGGGTATAAATATATTGTACCTGAGCATGCTTGGCTCTGACATAAGGACTATCTCCATAAGGAACCTTGTGAAGTACATGGTAAAGGTCATCTCTTTTTCCTTTTGGGTTGTTGTTTTTGTTATTGCTGCAATCACTTCTTTCTTCCATTCTCTCTCTTCTTTCAGTTTCTGTTTCTGTGAGTTGTTGTTGCTGCAACCACTTCCTTTGTGAGTTTCTCTTTCGTCTTCTGTTACAATCACACGCTTTCGAGTTTCAACTAAAGCAAAAGCAAGGTATACCCGTAGAAAGAAAAAAGGGAGAGAGAGGATGAGAAAAACAACGTTGTGAACCTAGACGGATTCACGGTCTTGTTCCTTTCGTTTTGGTGTTAGGCCACTGCAGAGTCAATCAACGCCTATAATCGACGTAGAATTCGTTGAGGAGACACGTGTCCTCTCGTGATTTTAGCTTCGAAAATAACGATTCACTGTATAAAAGTAGGGATTAGTATTTGTTATATACAATTGTGTTATTTTAATTAAAATTATTGTATTTTATAGTAAGAGAAATAATTATATAACAGAAATTATAGTGAGGAAAAGTGAAAATAATTTTTTAATTTAAATATTAAACAAAATAATAATAATTTTAATTAAAATTTTAAAGGATAAATATTTTTCTTTTAAAAATATAGCATTGAATTGAAAAAGGTACCGATTCTTAATTTTTTAATTTAAGTCGTTAAGATAATGCTTACATAAATAATCATTTTTTTTATAGAACTGCATCGACGTTATTAGATAATATCTAATTTTTTTGGCTGTTATATATATATATATATATATATATATATATATATATATTATATATATAGGATTTTATATTTCTCATGTGATAAGAATCAAAAACTTTTCTTATGCACACTCAACCAAAGTGACACCCATTATGAGAGAGAAAAAAACAAACCAAAAAAGTAAAAGCACGTGGATCGATGGATGAGTAGGAATTTATTCTCCTCTCGTCCAACATGAGAACTTCATTATCCATATATATATATATATATATGGGTCTTTATTTTATCATGTTACATGATGTCATGCAACAATAAAAGACAAAAAATAATAATAATAAAAATATATGGTAAGACACTTTGTTCATTAATTTTATTTTGTCTTATCTTAACATAACCAAATTATTTTTTCTACAACATAACTCTTATATATATATATATATATATATATATATATATATATATATATATATATATATATATGGTTTTTGGGGGGTAAAATCTCTGTTTTTATTTTGAACGATTTCTAGAAGTTTGTGAAAATTAGAAATGAAGTTTGTACACATTAGTTGGTTTTATTTTTATATTTATTTACGTTAAAATTTTTTTTTTAATGTAATTGTCATTTTTTTTATTTTTTTTTCACATAATAGGTATGAGTCAAGTTTTGAGTCAATGAGTTAATTATTAAATGAGTCAGGTCTAAAACCTGACCCAAATAAAGTGGGTTAGTATTAAATTAAATCCAGTTTAAAAAAAATGAATATTTATAAGTCAGGTTATTCTGTGCGGCAGTAATTATCTGACCCAAATAAAGTGGGTTAGTATTAAATCAAGAGCGGGACAAGTGAATCAGTTATTGTGTGTGGCAGTGATTATCTGACCATATTTCACCCCATTAGTTAGATCATATATTTGATCTCCACTGTCTAAGGCTCTTACCACCTGATAAAAACCAAGGGAATGACTGGTTAATGATTTGAATGAGTTTAAGATATAAATGTCACAAATGAAGATAATTATGTCAAAAGCAAACAAGTACAAGCTTCATGAACCACATAATAATAGCTATCTCTTATTATTATTATCTCCTGAACCACAAGCTCATGTTTTTAGTAAGAGTTTAAGCTTTCGATTTGCTTAAAGATGTTCATTTTTACTCATGTGAATGTGAATGCCCTCAGGTAGTGTTCGGTTGAAGGTTTATTTTGAGATTGATTGAAAAGTGTAAGTGGATATTAGAAAATATCACGTTTGATTCAGATTTTTTCAAAAAACACCAGGCAAATAAGATAGATGGGAAAAAGACTTTTGTGTTGATTTTTGGATGAAATTCATTGTTACAGAATACCACTTGAGATGTGGTATTTTGAGATAATTGGGGAAGTGAAAAAACAGGTGCAAAGTTTCTCCTGAACATAGATTTTGCATATTTAAATAAATTTTTCTGGTAATATTTGGGTCAACCAAACAACTTTTTTTATATTTTCCTATCAAACTCACTTTCCAATCATTTCCCTATCAATTACATTTCTCTAGTAAAAAAAAATTTCTTCCGAACTAAACACTAGCTTAGTATAATGGTAGCTACGAACCTGTAGCAGTGGCGGTCGATTTACTCATCATTATTAGATTTTGAAACAAGTACTCAACTAACAAAATACTTGCTTTTGTGAAAATGTCTCTAAATATGTTTCACTCTAATAGCTATTAGTTTTATGACATGTCGCTGCAGTATCTTGCTACGACTTTTTGTTTTTTACCTTTTTATATTTTAGTAAAACATAGAGGCACACATTTCAAGAATCTCTAGCCTTCAATAAAAGTGGAGTAATAGGTGATACACAATACTCCAAACTATTCTTATAGGTGATACACAATACTCCAATCTTAAGAAGGTAAATTCGGATAACAAATATATTTGAATTCTTTGTTTTCCCCAATAATAATGCTTAGAAAATATAATCATTGGTATTTTTTTTAATCCTACAAAGAACTTATGCACTTACAGTTAGTCCATTGCATGGCCTAACCATTAACTTAAGAAGTTCATAGTCAACTAGAGTTGTGGCCCAATTGTTGAAAGAAGTATTGATTTGAAATTAAACAAATTACGATCAAATACAAGTCCCAATAAAGCAGCAGATACGATTTTGATTTATTTGACAAGAAAAAGAAAACAACACATTTGACATGATTTGAGATATAAGAATTAGAATTAGAATCAGAATCGCAATGGAAGGATTCTGAATGCTGAGCAGTTGGCGGTCTTGAATAGAGGGAGGAACGATTAGAAAATAATTGATGAAGCAACTTGATAATCAGTCCATTTATTTAATTGTCGCGGGAAGAGGAAACCAAAAACTCAACCTATTTTTTATAACATTTTCACCAACGCTTATTTCTTGGCTTTTTTACTTTTTTACCCTTCATTAATTAATTAATAATCATTTTGCCCCTTATTCAAAACTATCTACCAATCTGCCCCTCTTTAATCGATTAACTTGAAGATTTAATCGATTAAATGGTCAAAACTGGTAAAAAAGGTTGACTTGAAGATTTAATCGATTAAATTTTCAAGTTAATCGATTAAATCTCCCAACAGGAAACAAAGGTCAAATCTCCTCCGTAAACAAAAGCAGATTCCATGCAAATGAAGCAAATCAACAAGCATAGATAACCAAACAAACAAAGAAACCAACAAAAGAAAAACGATTCTTGGAAACTGGATTGATTTACATGAACAGGTCTGGCTCCATTTCTACCTCTCACATGAAAACTTTGCTTATTACATGAAAAATGGCACGAAGTGATCCTATTGTCAACCTCGAAACGATGACAGCGATCAAGGTGAACTAACGAACCCTTCCCGTCTTGCATATTCATCATAAAAATACTTAGCAGAATCTTCAATCAGTTTTTCGTATATTGGAGGTTATTTGAATTTTGAATTTAATGTAATAGGAGTTAATTGCGATTAGTATTTAACAGAAGTTGATTGTGTTTTGTATTTAATAGGAGCTGATTGCGTTTTTTATTTAATAGGACGCAATCAGCTCCTATCAAATACAAAGCGTAATCAACTCCTATTACATTAAATTCAAAATTCAAATAACCTCCAATACCGCGTTTGTCTCATTCAATCAATGCTTTCACGCTCATTTGAGACATTTAATCGATTAAATATAATTATTAATCGATTAAATCAATTAAGAGGGATATTTAATCGATTAAGAGAGATATTTAATCGATTAAATCTTCAAGTCAACCATTTTTGTCAGTTTTGACTATTTAATCGATTAAATCTTCAAATTAATCGATTAAAGAGGGACAAATTGATAGATAATTTTGGATTATGAGCAAAATAGTTATTAATTAATTAATGAAGAGAAAAAGGGTCAAAAAGCCTTTATTTCTTACTTTCTCATATTAACTTCATTGTCAATTCTCTGTTTTAAAATTTCACTTCAAACTTTTGCATCAGAAAAGAAAAATACATTTTCAAGTTAAGTTACAAATTTCATTTACCAATTAAATTTTGTTTCAACAGAAAATCTTTCAAAAACAAAAATATTCACATTTAGTTTAGTGTTTTGTTTGTTTTAATTTTTTTTTTCTGTTTTTAGTTTAAGAACTGTTTCAGCAATTGCAATTTTAATTTGAGTCAAAATGCCATGATCTCTGTGGGATGATATTAGGATCTTAAATACCTCATTTACTACTTGTTGTAGTGTATGCTTGTAGGACATACTTGCATAACTATTAGCAAGGTAACATCTACAATTGACCAATTTTTGTCACTTTTTTGTTGTTGATAAATCCAATTTTTATCACTTAAATCAGCATTATATCTCCAATTTATGCTTTAAAATGGACTCAATTATGCACTTAATTGACCAGATAGATATCTATCAATATCTAGGTTTATACTCGAGTTTGACTTATAAGTAGAATTATTTTAAACCGATTAATTTTCTATTTTAAAATTTGAATTAGAGATGAAGATGGGAGACCACGCTATCGGTTCCAATTAACAGAATATGCACTTCTATCTAGTTCATGTTTTGAAGATGGTTAATTATGGGTTTAGAGACTCGTGTTGTGTGACTTGACCAAGCTTATGAGTGGCCTTTGTCGCGTTGATCATGGACATTGAATTTGTGTTGTGAACTTGTGACAAACCTGATAAAACATGCAAATTGGGCTCACGCATGACTTTGAATCGGCTTGATAACCTGTCTGACAATCGAAGTATGAAGAGGGATTGGGCCGTTTCAGCAGTTCAACCCAGCCCACCTCGAATATAGGCCAGTTTATAAATCAATGCCATAAGACCCAACATCAATTAAGTAATTGCTTGTTACATATCCATTCTTCAATAAATCCCCGTTCATTATTGCCCTAAACCGAGTCCATTTACATATAAGTTGTTTGTACCACTATTTTAAAACTCGGCCAGGTTAGTTGAGGTATTGGATCACTAAGTCAGTAGTTCAATCGGTTAGTCATTGGTTCAATCGATTTAATTAAATTTATATTAAAATATATAATAAATATATTAT